GGGGGGGGTAGCTCAGTGTCTGTATACTACCTGGGGGAGGGGGGAGCTCAGAGTCTGTATACACGGAGAAGGAGCAAGAGGGTTGCTCAGTGTCTGTTTACAGGGGGGGAGGGGCGCGGGGATATTTTCGGTTTTACTTTATGGCTTTACAGAATTTTTGTACTTTGAACAGGTATACATTCTTTGAAGCTTTAACAAGAAACAAAATGAGAATGTGTTAGTCTCTGGGTCTGTATGTATTCATGTTTATGTGTAAGTCTCTGGGTCTGTATGTATTCATGTTTATGTGTAAGTCTCTGGGTCTGTATGCATTCATGTTTATGTGTAAGTCTCTGGGTCTGTTTGTATTCATGTTTATGTGTAAGCCTAAGATTTCCTCAAAAGTGCTTCTGATAATGAGTCATTGTAAGACAATTATTGTAAGTTATATTTTTCTATATTTTCACAATGGTTAAACTGCTACAATGTTTCAAAGACTACTTTGTTGTTAACATTTGGGAATCAAAATATTTCAAATACTTCATTATGGTAAATGTGTGTGTAACCACTTTCAGTATAACATTTAAGTTGCTGGTGAGATTATAACATGCACTGTTCACAATCCCCATGATAACATATCAGAGATTATAACATACATGAGAACATATCAGAGATTATAACATACATGATAACATATCAGAGATTATAACATACATGATAACATATCAGAGATTATAACATACATGATCAGAGATTATAACATACACTGTTAACAATCCCCATCATAACATATCAGTGTTAGGTCAATGACAACTGTTTTGTTCCACTATTTTACACTAAACAGACTACCTATACAGCCATTACAAGGAAATCATCGTTTTCACGGATTTAAGTCGGTACAAGTATTTTCTGTATGTGATATGGTGAGCTCCTGCATTTAATAGAATAGGATATTATGAGATGTTCGTGTCAAATCACATGATATAAAAAATTACAACATGTTTAAAAACATTAAACCATACCAACCAATATGTGACATTAAACAATGTGATATAAAGAGGATTAACCCACTGTACTATATCTATTGTTATCTCTGTGGAACTTTTTGTAAATTAGAAAAAACATGTTCTGTAATTCGTTTGACACCCACTTATTACAATAGACCCAGTGTAATCATAATTAGAAGTACAAAGGTATACATGACCATGTGTTATCAATCAGATGTTACCGACACAAGGCCTGCACCAGTCAAGGTGATGAGGTTGTCTACTATAAATGGGACCAATCAGATTTAACTATCACAGAGAATAGTGGTAGAGTATTATTGTTGATTAGGCGTGTGAGATCATATTCGACTATAGTACAATTCAGTAACAGTTTACTAATTTCAATTTAAAAATAATAGTTGCAAATTTAAGCCATTTCTCAACTTTTGACAAAATTCATCCCGCAACATTTAAACCACAGCAGTTAGTTACAATAAAGCATTCCTCGTTTTCATTACCCATTTCTGTTACATCAGTGAGTTGAACACACTTCTAAACAGTTGTGATCCACCGTTAGATAACAGGTACATGTACAGTAAAGTAACTGGTAATACTCATCAGAACAGACACCCAGTGGTAGTGTTCTGTTACTACATACTCATCAGAACAGACACCCAGTGGAAGTGTTCTGTTACTACATACTCATCAGAACAGACACCCAGTGGTAGTGTTCTGTTACTACATACTCATCAGAACAGACACCCAGTGGTAGTGTTCTGTTACTACATACTCATCAGAACAGACACCCAGTGGTAGTGTTCTGTTACTACATACTCATCAGAACAGACACCCAGTGGTAGTGTTCTGTTACTACATACTCATCAGAACAGACACCCAGTGGTAGTGTTCTGTTACTACATACTCATCAGAACAGACACCCAGTGGTAGTGTTCTGTTACTACATACTCATCAGAACAGACACCCAGTGGTAGTGTTCTGTTACTACATACTCATCAGAACAGACACCCAGTGGTAGTGTTCTGTTACTACATACTCATCAGAACAGACACCCAGTGGTAGTGTTCTGTTACTACATACTCATCAGAACAGACACCCAGTGGTAGTGTTCTGTTACTACATACTCATCAGAACAGACACCCAGTGGTAGTGTTCTGTTACTACATACTCATCAGAACAGACACCCAGTGGTAGTGTTCTGTTACTACATACTCATCAGAACAGACACCCAGTGGTAGTGTTCTGTTACTACATACTCATCAGAACAGACACCCAGTGGTAGTGTTCTGTTACTACATACTCATCAGAACAGACACCCAGTGGTAGTGTTCTGTTACTACATACTCATCAGAACAGACACCCAGTGGTAGTGTTCTGTTACTACATACTCATCAGAACAGACACCCAGTGGTAGTGTTCTGTTACTACATACTCATCAGAACAGACACCCAGTGGTAGTGTTCTGTTACTACATACTCATCAGAACAGACACCCAGTGGTAGTGTTCTGTTACTACATACTCATCAGAACAGACACCCAGTGGTAGTGTTCTGTTACTACATACTCATCAGAACAGACACCCAGTGGTAGTGTTCTGTTACTACATACTCATCAGAACAGACACCCAGTGGTAGTGTTCTGTTACTACATACTCATCAGAACAGACACCCAGTGGTAGTGTTCTGTTACTACATACTCATCAGAACAGACACCCAGTGGTAGTGTTCTGTTACTACATACTCATCAGAACAGACACCCAGTGGTAGTGTTCTGTTACTACATACTCATCAGAACAGACACCCAGTGGTAGTGTTCTGTTACTACATACTCATCAGAACAGACACCCAGTGGTAGTGTTCTGTTACTACATACTCATCAGAACAGACACCCAGTGGTAGTGTTCTGTTACTACATACTCATCAGAACAGACACCCAGTGGTAGTGTTCTGTTACTACATACTCATCAGAACAGACACCCAGTGGTAGTGTTCTGTTACTACATACTCATCAGAACAGACACCCAGTGGTAGTGTTCTGTTACTACATACTCATCAGAACAGACACCCAGTGGTAGTGTTCTGTTACTACATACTCATCAGAACAGACACCCAGTGGTAGTGTTCTGTTACTACATACTCATCAGAACAGACACCCAGTGGTAGTGTTCTGTTACTACATACTCATCAGAACAGACACCCAGTGGTAGTGTTCTGTTACTACATACTCATCAGAACAGACACCCAGTGGTAGTGTTCTGTTACTACATACTCATCAGAACAGACACCCAGTGGTAGTGTTCTGTTACTACATACTCATCAGAACAGACACCCAGTGGTAGTGTTCTGTTACTACATACTCATCAGAACAGACACCCAGTGGTAGTGTTCTGTTACTACATACTCATCAGAACAGACACCCAGTGGTAGTGTTCTGTTACTACATACTCATCAGAACAGACACCCAGTGGTAGTGTTCTGTTACTACATACTCATCAGAACAGACACCCAGTGGTAGTGTTCTGTTACTACATACTCATCAGAACAGACACCCAGTGGTAGTGTTCTGTTACTACATACTCATCAGAACAGACACCCAGTGGTAGTGTTCTGTTACTACATACTCATCAGAACAGACACCCAGTGGTAGTGTTCTGTTACTACATACTCATCAGAACAGACACCCAGTGGTAGTGTTCTGTTACTACATACTCATCAGAACAGACACCCAGTGGTAGTGTTCTGTTACTACATACTCATCAGAACAGACACCCAGTGGTAGTGTTCTGTTACTACATACTCATCAGAACAGACACCCAGTGGTAGTGTTCTGTTACTACATACTCATCAGAACAGACACCCAGTGGTAGTGTTCTGTTACTACATACTCATCAGAACAGACACCCAGTGGTAGTGTTCTGTTACTACATACTCATCAGAACAGACACCCAGTGGTAGTGTTCTGTTACTACATACTCATCAGAACAGACACCCAGTGGTAGTGTTCTGTTACTACATACTCATCAGAACAGACACCCAGTGGTAGTGTTCTGTTACTACATACTCATCAGAACAGACACCCAGTGGTAGTGTTCTGTTACTACATACTCATCAGAACAGACACCCAGTGGTAGTGTTCTGTTACTACATACTCATCAGAACAGACACCCAGTGGTAGTGTTCTGTTACTACATACTCATCAGAACAGACACCCAGTGGTAGTGTTCTGTTACTACATACTCATCAGAACAGACACCCAGTGGTAGTGTTCTGTTACTACATACTCATCAGAACAGACACCCAGTGGTAGTGTTCTGTTACTACATACTCATCAGAACAGACACCCAGTGGTAGTGTTCTGTTACTACATACTCATCAGAACAGACACCCAGTGGTAGTGTTCTGTTACTACATACTCATCAGAACAGACACCCAGTGGTAGTGTTCTGTTACTACATACTCATCAGAACAGACACCCAGTGGTAGTGTTCTGTTACTACATACTCATCAGAACAGACACCCAGTGGTAGTGTTCTGTTACTACATACTCATCAGAACAGACACCCAGTGGTAGTGTTCTGTTACTACATACTCATCAGAACAGACACCCAGTGGTAGTGTTCTGTTACTACATACTCATCAGAACAGACACCCAGTGGTAGTGTTCTGTTACTACATACTCATCAGAACAGACACCCAGTGGTAGTGTTCTGTTACTACATACTCATCAGAACAGACACCCAGTGGTAGTGTTCTGTTACTACATACTCATCAGAACAGACACCCAGTGGTAGTGTTCTGTTACTACATACTCATCAGAACAGACACCCAGTGGTAGTGTTCTGTTACTACATACTCATCAGAACAGACACCCAGTGGTAGTGTTCTGTTACTACATACTCATCAGAACAGACACCCAGTGGTAGTGTTCTGTTACTACATACTCATCAGAACAGACACCCAGTGGTAGTGTTCTGTTACTACATACTCATCAGAACAGACACCCAGTGGTAGTGTTCTGTTACTACATACTCATCAGAACAGACACCCAGTGGTAGTGTTCTGTTACTACATACTCATCAGAACAGATACCCAGTGGTAGTGTTCTGTTACTACATACTCATCAGAACAGACACCCAGTGGTCGTGTTCTGTTACTACATACTCATGTTTATACACAATCCTGTAGTGGTGACATGTCATTATGTACTTTCATGAAATTATTTATATTATATGAACAGAGGCATCAGATATTTATGGTTTTTTTTTATCTCGTCTGGATCAAAGGACCACGGTGAGCTTATGTTGTTCAATGGCCTAAGTCCATCTGTCCATCATCAATATCTTTAAAAAGACTTCTTAACTGCCAAATAGAATTTCACTCAATTTGCCTAGAAGCATCCTTATGTGGTGGGGATTCACAGTTCTACAGATGAAGTATAAGCAACTTCCTCTCCAGAATGAATAGACTGATATCAACCATATTTGGTTGAAAGTGTTCTCATCTAACAACAGATTCTTACTTGACAAGCTACATGTATTTCTAGGCCTCCTTTTAATTTTTAAATCCAACCAACAATTCTGTATGGGACTAGCCATTTCTTAGTCTGCTCACTAATGAATCACCTTCAGAAAAACAAAGGTATGAAAATTAAACAGTTTGTTTTCTTAAAGAAACTGGTATTTTGATTTTAAAGTAAGATTGTAGACATCTTTGCCCTTGGAGTATTATATTTGATGAAATCCGTAGATAGTTAATGTCTGTCATTGTACAAAATCTGGGACAACCAATTAAGTCCAACATTCCACGTACCAACCATCATGATGGCTTAGTAAAGCATACAAACTCAGGTTGTAAGGTGGTTTTTATATATTATTTAAAGGGTACACAAAAGGTTGAAATTTTGTGTTATTTAAAGCACATCCACAAAGGTTGTACAGAAAGTTTATTGATTATCTAAAGTGTACACATGAAGGTTACAAGTTGTTTTGTATTTTATCCATTGTTCCCATTCTAAATAGCCAGATGTCCAACAACCTTACAGCAGACTCTGGCATTCCTTAGGTTTGGTGCTCCATACCAGTGTTGACAATAAAACATACTTTAACCTCGTGACTTACTATAGTAACGTGTTTTAATTCGTTTGATTACTACATGACACACATATGAATGTAATACTTTTCTATGGAATCATTCAGACCCTTGACTGGAGTGCATGAAAGCCAGTAGCAGTTTTAAAAAAAAAAAAATACCCTCACCATTGATTTCATGGAAATGTTAAGAAATGTTTGGGAAGTGAATAAAGGTAAAAGAAATATCCTGAAATACAGATAGTATGCAATGAACTATTTTCAATATCCATAAATTTCTCTTGTGGATGTAGTTAATTAACAGCAAGATATACTGCTGTATTGTATATTGATTAATGTTTAACAAACAAATAGTTTTATAACTAAGACATCTGTTTCAGATATACATGTTGTTAATGTCGTCTAAATGAAATACTGTATACTTGGACATTTTCGCCAAGTCAAACTTTCACCCTTCGCACAGGAAATTAATTTTCACTAGATGTTAATTTTGCTCTTCACATTTCATAACTATCTATATTATGTGTTAACCGATATTCACTGTAATGAATATCTATATAATGTGTTTACTGATATTCAGTGTAATGACTATCTATATTAACGGTATGTATTTACCGAGTCATTGTAATGAAAAATTCGCCCCCTCATCATAGAAGCCAAAAAATAACGAAAACTACCTGCCGCAGTATTTGGTGGTATACAGTCCCTCTGTATGATGTTCTGTCCTGTGATCCTACTTCACACAGCTGTAAAGGATTAGTGGACCATTTTACTGAATCCCGGCTCATATATCATCAAATTTCAGATGGACAACAAAATTATCAGTGATATAAAACCTTGTAAAACCAGTTCTATTTTGGAGTCAGAATTGACATATACATTATCTACCTTATTTAGTCAGTAAATGATAAAAAAGGTCCATCGTGGCTTTGTGAGCTCGGTAGGCTGCTACAGGTATTACTCGGGACTTCCCCAGTCATATGCAGTATTGGATGTGTCTGTATGTGCTGAGAATATGGTCAACGCAAATGTTTCAGTAAAATTCTCAAACATCAAATCATCCCCAGTGTTTGTCTTATTTATTAAGAGCTTGGTTATCCTTGCTAGCTTGTTTCAGTTCATTTCCAGGGTTACTGGGACAGTTTTAAGTAGAAAGACAGTCCACCCAAACACTGGCAGTACAAGACAACCAGAACAGATGTTGTGGATTAATGAAGTCTGGCCCCTACTGTATACATTCTGGTTCTGATAATTGATGTAAGAATGGTAAAATTAATTTGAATGTATCTTCAGCAATGTTATTTCAAGCTATTGCACTATGTGAACATTTTGCTCCCAAACTACACACCCTTGGTAAGGGATCAGCTGCTTCTAGAGTATAGATTCTGATCCCCACCATAGGCTAATGTTTAAATTCAACTTCATCTAGTCACAACTATGACTATTTATGGATAATGCACAACAACAGAAGAAAGGCGATTGCTAAAGTGTACCTGAGTGACATGGGTGACGTAAAAATTTACAAAGACTTTCACATTTCATATGAAATTTTATTAACCATTTAACATGAAAAAAAGTCATTCAACAATTGAACACAATGAAAATGGATCAATATATGCACCACATAAACATGAGAATGGGGTCGAGGCAAATTAATCCCAATAAAAAAACTGGGTCGGTTAAATTTTCTCACAAAACTCAGAACGCCCTGATAAATTCATAATTTTCAAAAGCAAGAACACATTAAACATTGTTATAACAAACCCCAAGAGACCAAAATACAGACACAATATGTTATGCGTTGATGTTCACAAGGAAAGATTCTTTCTACTGGGCAAAACACTTGCTAATGTACAAGAATTCACAAAAACAAAACGTTGGTTCTTAGTTTTACAGCATATGGTTCATCTTAAGTTTATAATCTCTGGTATGTTATTGCTTATTAGCACAATATATCATACAGCTATTAAACAGGACCAGTCTTTATTTACACCACACTGAAATAAAATCCTGTTAGCCAGTAAGCACAATGTTATCAAGGACACATTTCCACTATACTGATCAGATCAGCACTGCAAGTACATAGTACAAAAACATCCACACACCGACAACAAATTAGGAACAATTAGCACTAGTTTCAGCAAAATAAGCTGCTCTTTTTACAAAAGACATGATTTTTACTTGTAATCAGGCAAATCTAGCAAGTCTTTCCTGACAGCTAAGGTGGCTACTGTGGGGCCCTATACTTTTAGGCATAACTGCAGGCCTTTAAATATTTTGTCAAGGCTTGTTATCATTCCCTTTTATATAAACAACTGTGATTTGAGTGGTCAATCATCAAATAGAATGTGTTTTCTCTGGACATTTTCTTTGTTGATCTTCTGTACCTTGTCCACCAACTACAAAAAGAAATATAAATAGCTTTAACTGTCACAAACACAAACCAACAGGTATCACTGTCACACACAAAAACCAACAGGTATCACCGTCACACACACAAACCAACGGGTATCTCTGTCACACACACAAGCCAACAGGTATCACTGTCACCCACACAAACCAACAGAAATCACTGTCACAAACACAAACCCCCCGGTATCACTGTCACAAAAAAACCAACAGGTATCACCGTCACACACACAAACCAACGGGTATCTCTGTCACACACACAAGCCAACAGGTATCACTGTCCCAAACACAAACTAACAGGTATCACTGTCAAAAACACAAACCAACAGGGATCACAGTCACACATACAAACAAACAGGTATCACTGTCAAAAACACAAACCAACAGGTGTCACTGTCACACACACAAGCCAACAGGTATCACTGTAACACACACAAACCAACAGTTATCACTGTCACAAACACAACCTAACAGGTATCACTGTCACCCACCAAACCAACAGGTATCAGTGTCACAAACACAAACGAACAGGTATCACTGGCACACACACAAACCAACAGGGATCACAGTCACACATACAAACCAAAAGGTATCACTGTCACAAACCCAAACCAACAGGTATCAGTGTCACAAACACAAACGAACAGGTATCACTGTCACCCACCAAACCAACAGGTATCAGTGTCACAAACACAAACGAACAGGTATCACTGGCACACACACAAACCAACGGGTATCTCTGTCACACACACAAGCCAACAGGTATCACTGTCACCCACCAAACCAACAGGTATCACCGTCACACACACAAACCAACGGGTATCTCTGTCACACACACAAGCCAACAGGTATCACTGTCCCAAACACAAACTAACAGGTATCACTGTCACAGACAGAAAACAACAGGTATCACTGTCAAAAACACAAACCAACAGGGATCACTGTCACAAACACCAACTAACAGGTATCACTGTCACACATACAAACCAACAGGCATCGCTGTCACACACACAAACGAACAGGTATCACTGTCACAAACCCAAACCAACAGGTATCACCGTCACACACACAAACCAACAGGTTTCTCTGTCTTAAACACAAACCAACAGGCATCGCTGTCACACACACAAACCAACGGGTATCTCTGTCACACACACAAGCCAACAGGTATCACTGTAACACACACAAACCAACAGGCATCACTGTCACACACACAAACGAACAGGTATCACTGTCACAGACAGAAAACAACAGGTATCACTGTCCCAAACACAAACTAACAGGTATCACTGTCAAAAACACAAACCAACAGGAATCACTGTCACACACAAAAACCAACAGGTATCACAGTCACACATACAAACAAACAGGTATCACTGTCAAAAACACAAACCAACAGGGATCACAGTCACACATACAAACCAAAAGGTATCACTGTCACAAACACAAACCAACAGGTATCACTGTCACACACACAAACAGACAGTATCTGACAAGTAGGAAGTAGCTTTATTCTTAACCAAATGAGGCAAGACAGAACATCAGGAAGAGGGACAGGAATTTCCCTGTTTTATACCTACATGTATACAGAAATAATGTAAACAGATCTATATAGACACTGTATATTTGATTTAGGCATTTATTGGCATGCACAGCTAATTGTATTAACAGTTTTGATGTCATTTATGACCAAATCCAACTATTTAGAGTATACAAGGAAACTTTCACCTTTTGCCAGAATAAACCATATTCACTAAGTGTTAATTTCGCCTTTACATTTAATTACTATGTATATTATGTTGTTTACTAATTTTCACTGCAATGATAAATTTGCCTTTCATATGGGCGGGCAAAGAAGTCCAAAAAATAAACTGCAGTGAACATTTTTTGGTATGCATTAACTGTTCTAACCACACAGGACAGTACACCCAGCCCTCACCAACCTCTATAGAAATACCTTGTAACTGTTCTTACCACCCAGGACACCCAGCCCTCACCAGACTCTATAGAAATACCTTGTTATTGTTCTTACCACCCAGGACAGTACACCCAGCCCTCACCAACCTCTATAGAAATACCTTGTAACTGTTCTAACCACCCAGGACACCCAGCCCTCCCCAGACTCTATAGAAATACCTTGTTATTGTTCTTACCCCCCAGGACAGTACACCCAGCCCTCACCAACCTCTATAGAAATACCTCGTAACTGTTCTTACCACCCAGGACACCCAGCCCTCGCCAGACTCTATAGAAATACCTTGTAACTGTTCTTACCACCCAGGGCACCCAGCCCTCACCAACCTCTATAGAAATACCTTGTAACTGTCCTAACCACCCAGGACAGTACACCCAGCCCTCACCAGACTCTATAGTGATACCTTGTAACTGTTCTTACCACCCAGGACACCCAGCCCTCGCCAGACTCTATAGAAATACCTTGTAACTGTCCTAACCACCCAGGACAGTACACCCAACCCTCACCAACCTCTATAGAAATACCTTGTAACTGTCCTAACCACTCAGGACAAGACACCCAGCCCTCGCCAACCTCTATAGAAATACCTTGTAACTGTTCTTACCACCCAGTACACCCAGCCCTCGCCAACCTTTATAGAAATACCTTGTAACTGTTTTAACCACCCAGGACACCCAGCCCTCGCCAGACTCTATAGAAATACCTTGTAGCTGTTCTAACCACCCAGGACACCCAGCCCTCTCCAGACTCTATAGAAATACCTTGTAACTGTTCTAACCACCCAGGACACCCAGCCCTCGCCAGGCTCTATAGAAATACCTTGTAACTGTTCTAACCACCCAGGTCGCCCAGCCCTCGCCAGACTGTATAGAAATACCTTCTGAGTTCCTCGCTTCTTTGGCTTGTTCTTGTTGCTCAGTTTAGCATCACGGTCGGACTGTAACTTACTCCAGTATACACTTTCATCTTCTCCTAAAATTGAAAATGCAATTACCTACATTTTTGTGTCTACAGATATGATTCATGCTCTACAACAGATTTGATCATTAAAGGAATAGTGAAATGTAAATGTAGTGTAGACCTGTTATTACCTTGTAGGAGAAAGAAAGTGTAGTTCTCTGGTTGGGCATTAGCAGCCTTTTTGGCACTCTCGGAGTCCTTGAATCTGATGTATCCACTACAGTCACCTTCAATTAAATCTACATAGGCTACACCCCCTTCTTCTCCAAAGTACTCCTGAAAATACACCAAATATCAACAAACCCATATTCAAATACTTTCAACCAATCAAATTGTTGACAATTAAATAACCAACATTTAAATAGCCATCCTTTTATTTTCTTCAGGCAATGATTTTACTTTTAGTTATGTTGCAAATACTTCTTTTCCAAGAACATATACACATAATTCAGAAAGGTATGGTTGACAAGTGCTGGGTCAAATGTGAAAATAAGTTGCTTCTTTTAACATGACAGTTCAGACAATGTCGGCTGAAGTTTTAAACCCTCACACCTTAGGTCAAGGTAATTTTATATCACAAATTTTGTCTGACTACATTCCAAAAAGCTACTAGCCGATTTTCATTTTATCTACACTTTTCGGTTCTTCAGATGAAGTCATTGACAGGTTTTGACCTATTTGACCCGTCTGACCATGAAAGCAAATCAAAGCAAATTTATTTTGGAAACTTTTTTAGTTCCATCCCACAAAGCATATTGCAATACTAGGCTTTCACATTCTTCAGAAGGTGACACTGAAGTGTTTGACATATTTTACCTCTGTGAACTTTCAATTGAAAGTAGGTCAAGTTGTTTATACAATGTTACAAACCAAATATGATATCATGGCTTCTGTTCTTCCGAACCTTTGGTTCTTCCAAAGAAGATGTGCAGAGGAAAAGTCGGAAGGACAGATTGAGGACACTGCACCATGACATAAGCTTGCACTGTGATCACTTGCCCTACAGACATGTGAGGTGAAACAAGCACTTTCTCCATCTATCAAGTAAAAAATATTGAACATGCAACTCTCTATTCCCTCGAAAAAATTCCACCCTTCACTAGGGCCATCCTTATAACAGATGAGTAACCATTCTGCGTAGCCTACCTTGATCTGCTTGCGTGAGAATGGGTGAGGAGACTTGACCTTGACAATCACGTTCGAAACAAATTCAACTTTAGATTTCATCTGTGAGACAGGTTGTGCCTCCTTGACTGGTTTCTCTGCAACAAACCAGGAATATAAGGTGTCATTCTATAGCTGATCACAGAATCTAGATAAACATACACAGTGGATGTGACGGGTCTTAACGTCAGCATCCCGTTCTTATATCCTGAAATGTACCATCAGTTTTTACTAATTCTGCTAGTATACATGTTCTGAATGGTATTCTGAACTATGCACGGAATTGTATTTGAAACCAGTGCTTTCAGTTAAATGTAAACCTGCAACTAAAGTCACTGCCAACACTGTCATGTGGCAAACACACAGGTGTGAAATCACTCTGTCTTGCGTCATGTGTAAGTCAAACAGGCAGTTGTTAATCATTCCCTGTATACAATAATAGGTTTATTCCTTATCCCTGCCTACAGTTAGACTTCCTCCTGATCCCTCTTACTCTCACCTCTATATGTGTATGATACACATGTCCCCATACTCCTGTGTCCCTCAGCTGCAGAATTTGGTGTCAGAACCTTGGCACAGCCTCAGTTCTGACCCAAAATAGAATATCAATATCCCCCATACCTCAGTATCATAGACTCCATTAGTTTTGACTCAGATTCTACACACTCAGGTAGAATATCAATATCCCCCATACCTCAGTATCATAGACTCCATTAGTTCTGACCCAGATTCTACACCCTCAGGTAGATTATCAATATCCCCAATACCTCAATATCAAAGACTTCATTAGTTTTGACTCGGATTCTACACCCTCAAGTAGAATATCAATATCCCCCATCCCTCAGTATCATAGACTCCATTAGTTCTGACCCAGATTCTCCACACTAAGGTAGAATATCAATATCCCCCATACCCCAGTATCATAGACTATTAGCATCACAGGCTTAATCCTTATTTGTGTGTATAATAGCCTGAAGCCTTATCCTATGTACTATAAGCTTATTCTTTACCCCAATGTACAAGAGTTGATTAAAATCTTTGTATTAAGGAGATTGGCTTTACACTATACCTGTGATGGCATGTTCCTGACCAATCACTGTTTGACCTGACTGGTCATCATCCCTCCTGATCCTAGATAAGGTCTGTTTAAGATTGGTCATACTCTTTTTCTGCAGGGAGAGGTACTCACTGCGCAGGTCCAGCCACTCCTTCCTGACAAGTGCAAAATGAGTATATCCATAGACTCAATCAGTACAGACAAAGACAATATCAGAATCCTACTAGACAAAGATTAGCATAGGCAGAGATATAATTGTACACGAAAGACTTGACCAGTACAGACAAACTATTGCCATGCATCTGACCACAACCTCAAACATAGACTGTGAAAGCAACTTGATAAATATTTCTTGATCACTTTATTTTGCTATCAAACATGTTTGCAAATCATACATACATGTCACAATTTGCAATTGAAAACTTAACAAGTTTAAAGATTAGTTCAAAAAAATTGTTATAGGAAAATATGTGACATTTGAAGCACTTGCATAAATAAGGCCTCAATCATCTTACGACAAAATGACACCTACTCACAAGGTCACAATCGTCATACGACAAAATGACACCTACTCACAAGGTCAAAATCATCACACGACAAAATGACACCTATTCACAAGGACACAATCATCACACGACAAAATGACACCTCCTCACAAGGTCATAATCATCATACGACAAAATGACACCTACTCACAAGGTCCCAATCATCACACAACAAAATGACACCTACTCAAAAGGTCACAATCATCCTACGACAAAATGACACCTACTCACAAGGTCAAAATCATCACACGACAAAATGACACCTACTCACAAGGTCCCAATCATCACACAACAAAATGACACCTACTCACCAGGTCACAATCATCACATGACAAAATGACACCTACTCACAAGGTCACAAACATCCTACGACAAAATGACACCTACTCACCAGGTCACAATCATCACATGACAAAATGACACCTACTCACAAGGTCACAATAATCATAAGACAAAATGACACCTACTCACAAGGTCACAATAATCATAAGACAAAATGACACCTACTCACAAGGTCACAATCATCCTACGACAAAATGACACCTACTCACAAGGTCATAATCATCATACGACAAAATGACACCTACTCACAAGGACACAATCATCCTACGACAAAATGACACCTACTCACAAGGTCCCAATCATCACACAACAAAATGACACCTACTCACAAGGTCACAAACATCCTACGACAAAATGACACCTACTCACAAGGTCACAAACATCCTACGACAAAATGACACCTACTCACAAGGTCAAAATCATCACACGACAAAATGACACCTATTCACAAGGACACAATCATCACACGACAAAATGACACCTACTCACAAGGTTGCTTCGTGATCTACTTGACAAAATGACACCTACTCACAAGGTCACAATAATCATAAGACAAAATGACACCTACTCACAAGGTCACAAACATCCTACGACAAAATGACACCTACTCACCAGGTCACAATCATCACATGACAAAATGACACCTACTCACAAGGTCACAATCGTCATACGACAAAATGACACCTACTCACAAGGTCCCAATCATCACACAACAAAATGACACCTACTCAAAAGGTCACAATCATCCTACGACAAAATGACACCTACTCACCAGGTCACAATCATCACATGACAAAATGACACCTACTCACAAGGTCACAAACATCCTACGACAAAATGACACCTACTCACAAGGTCCCAATCATCACACAACAAAATGACACCTACTCAAAAGGTCACAATCATCCTACGACAAAATGACACCTACTCACCAGGTCACAATCATCACATGACAAAATGACACCTACTCACAAGGTCACAAACATCCTACGACAAAATGACACCTACTCACCAGGTCACAATCATCACATGACAAAATGACACCTACTCACAAGGTCACAAACATCCTACGACAAAATGACACCTACTCACCAGGTCACAATCATCACATGACAAAATGACACCTACTCACAAGGTCACAAACATCCTACGACAAAATGACACCTACTCACCAGGTCACAATCATCACATGACAAAATGACACCTACTCACAAGGTCACAAACATCCTACGACAAAATGACACCTACTCACAAGGTCACAATCATCACACGACAAAATGACACCTACTCACAAGGTTGCTTCGTGATCTACTTGACTTACTTTGATATCACTCTCAGCTCCGGTACATCCTTTCCCTTCTGTTTCTTCTTTTTCCTTTTCCTCTTTTTCGATGGAGTCGTTTTTCTTTTCTTGGCACCTATTTCCTCCTGATCAGTAACCGATGTTATCTCGACTTTCCTCTTTTTCACTTCATCTGTTGATGACTCACCTTCTGCCTTCCTCTTCCTCACTTCAGTTGATGATGAATCGGACACCTGACCTTGACCTTCACTGAGTTTACCTGTCTTAGCCGCACTCTGACCTTTGTCTACGTTGACACCAACATCTACTTCACTATCAGTCATTGAAACACTGGCATCAGACTGAGTTCTATTTTTCCTTTTCTTGACCTTTTTTACTTTTTCATTGTCTTCCTCCTCTGATTTTTCACCACAAGCCGACACTTTTGTTTCCTCAACGGTTTTGTTTTTGTCTGATATTTCACTACTTTTATCTCCTAGAACTTCGACATTTGTTTCAATTTTAGTTTTGTGATCACTTTCTATACTGACTGTTTTACGTTGTTTCATGGGAGATAACTCTGTACCGTCCACACTACTTTCACTAGTTTGCCGTCTCCTCCTCCTCTGCCGCTTTGACAGCTTTGTCGGTGACTCCCCTGGCTTGATGTCTTTGATATCCTTACTTTCACAAGGTAGTGACCCCGTCTCTAAGCCTTCAGCCTCCTCAGCTGTCACATACAAAACTCATTAACAAAACCTCTATGGTATAAGTTTTAACATAATCAGGTAGTGTATTTTACAGGAAATGAGTCCATCTTTGTTAAATTAAATCTGCCCCCTTGTAAAAAAAGATTTAACAAATTCATCAATCAGAATGAAGTATCGTCATTAATTTTACATAAATTTCACATTCGGGATCAAACTTAGTCTGAGTCTTGCCATGACGTATTTTACATTGGGGATCAAATTTAGTCCGAGTCTTGCCATGACGTATTTCTCATTGGGGATCAAACTTAGTCTACTCACAAGGTCACAATCATCATAAGACAAAATGACTCCTACTCACAAGGTCACAATCAACACACGACAAAATGACACCTACTCACAAGTTCACAATCATCACAAGACAAAATGACACCTACTCACAAGTTCACAATCATCACAAGACAAAATGACACCTACTCACAAGGTCGCAATCATCACAAGACAAAATGACACCTACTCGCAAGGTCACAATCATCACAAGACAAAATGACACCTACTCACAAGTTCACAATCATCACAAGACAAAATGACACCTACTCGCAAGGTCACAATCATCACAAGACAAAATGACACCTACTCACAAGGACACAAACATCCTACGACAAAATGACACCTACTCACAAGTTCACAATCATCACAAGACAAAATGACACCTACTCACAAGGTCACAAACATCCTACAACAAAATGACACCTACTCACAAGGACACAAACATCCTACGACAAAATGACACCTCCTCACAAGGTCACAATCATCATACAACAAAATGACACCTACTCACAAGGTCACAATCATCATAAGACAAAATGACACCTACTCACAAGGTCACAATCATCACAAGACAAAATGACACCTACTCACAAGGTCACAATCATCACACGACAAAATGACACCTACTCACAAGGTCACAATCATC